AATAGKAAAAAGTCCTGGACAAAAAAAAAATCAGGCCTGTATGGGATTCGAACCACTGACCTCTGCGATACCAGTGCAGCGCTGTACCTTAATATTTGATTCAGGGATGCTATTGTAAGGAGAAGTTAGATGCTAGTCACTCTTAGGGGTCGAGGAGTTGAGGAACATGGGGGGAGGGGGTCAGGAGAAATTAGATGCTAGTCACTCTTGGGGGTCAAGGAGTTGAGGAACATGGGGGGAGGAGGTCAGGAGAAATTAGATGCTAGTCACTCTTAGGGGTGAAAGGTTAAACAAATTATCTTTTTCAGCACCTAGGAAATGTTGAGAGAACACTATAGGAAAATTCATTACTCGACAAGAGGATTCTGCCTTAAATTGTACACTGCCTTAAATTGTACATGGTTTTCAAGTACAGTTTAATGGGCAATTCATGAGTCAAGTAATGGGTTTTCCTTGAAATCAGCATAACTTATGGTTGTTATATATACAATATCACCTAGTCTCATTTTCAATCCGCAATTCCATGGTAAATACCTTGCTTAATTAACCAATCAGAATGCGAGATTTTAATCAATGATGCAATTCTACAGAGAATATGCATACTGATGTTAGGGTGTAAAGGAGTTGAGTGTATAATATATCACTAGGTCTTCTGAGTCCAGAATGTACCTTATTGATAAATTCCTCTTAAAATTATTTATTGAGAAAAACCTCTGGTTATTTCCTGTTCCCCAGTCCATGCATTTCTCTCCTGTTTGTTGCTGAGTACATGCTCTGTGATGAATCAGGAAGGAAATGCATGGCTGAGAACCAAAGCAACACTACTAGCCACAATTATAATAATCATGTAGGTTCCAATTAGGATCTGATAAGAACATTTTCTCACTCTTTTGGCGTGTGAAGGATGAGTGTTCTTTAGCATTAGTATAGACTCAATAAAAGTATCCTGTTTCTGACTGTTCCATGCAAATGCACAAATAGGTCATAGAAAAGTATTCATGAATCCATTATTTCCCCCTCTTCAAATTTAAGCTTTTATACGCATGAAACATGCCACTTTCTAAAACACCACAAAGACGATGAAATTATTTTGATTGGTTGGTCACAATTATTTCATAAGACCATCACTTTTGTGTATTTTGATGTGATCCTACGTGATTAGGATTGTAGAGAAAAGAAAATCAGAACCATTATAATCATGTAGGATGGTATTATGATCTGGTAAGAATATTTTCCTTGCTCTTTGGGTGTTTTTCAGTATTATTAACTAAAAAATGAGAATGTCTTGTTTCTGATTGGTGGACAATGAATGCATAAATACATCACTGAATTTTTAATGCTATTTCCTGACTTCTGTAGTCTTTGTTGTATGTAACCATAAGAGTTGTTGTTTATTGACAAGGTCATTTGCTAGTAATTATATTTGGACCTTTCAAGTTCTCAATCAAGTAATTTATTAGACATTTTTATCTTTTTTTTTTTTTTTTACAGAGAAGCTTTCCCGAGGGAAATCAACATGACAGGAACAATTTGACCACCACAGAATCACCTGTACCAAGAATGGATCATGCAGGGGTTGGGGAACAAAACACCACATATACATATTCAGAATATCCTCGGCTTATAACACCACAGACTGCATCACAGCAGAATTCTGCAATTGACTGGTTCAACCAGCCTGATGGGTCTGCTCAGGTAAGTTAAAAGCAAACAGCTTTCTGAAGCATAAAGAGGATTGGAAGAAAGGTATTTTATTTTATCTTATTTAACACTAAATTGTCAGAGCTAAATTTGCAAGAAATGTTTGCAGACAGGGTAGAAAATTGATAAGAGTTCATCTAGAATTGCACAATTTAGTGTGCAATTGCTCTTTTTCAATGCCTAACTGCCCCTGCATAAAACAAATATTGATGAATTTTTATGGCACATTTCCAGATGGGCTCCTATCACCAAGATAGTTCCTCTAGTGCCCCTCCTTTGATGAATCAGCAATGCAATAGTGAACCTTACCCACAGATTTGGAGCCAAGAACCTGAATTAAGCAGCTGGTTCAACCAAGAAGGTGATCATTAACTTTCTTTTTTATTGTTGAGATAAAAATTAAGATTGCATAGTTTAACAGTTAATCTGTGACATAATTATACTGGCACCCCAATTGCTTTTTTTCAGGTAGTCAGTATAAACCTCAGTAAATCTGTAGTATATTTTCCAGCCATTGCATGTATCTTGTTCCAGAATCTTTGATGACTGAATGTTGAAAAGTTATGACAATCAACATTTTTGTTGTCAAAATTTTCCAAAGCTTTAATTTCTCACCAGGGATGCAGTGTGTTATTGTTTTCCTATGTTACCAATATAAACTGTTTATCAACTGCAGATGATGTTCCTGCCTCAGCACCTTTGCAAAATCTTGGAGAGCCTCAAGACATGGGAGATAGCATACTGGCCCCAAATACAAGTGTTGAGCACAATGGAGTTTTCTCACCTGCTACCTTAATGAATACTTCCTCTGAATTAACTGAGCCAAGCCAGGAAATTGAGAAAACACGACTGCAGTCTTCAGGCCAGGTTCCTTTAAAAGAACTTCCATTTGGCTTTGTTGAACCAAGTGCAGCTGTTGAACCAATGCAACATTGTCCACCATTGTGTCAAGCTCCGCCAATGCAGCAGGGTCCACCAATGCAGCAGGGTCCACCAATGCAGCAGGGTCCACCAATGGAGCAAGCTCCATCAATGCAGCAATATCCACCAATGCAGCACGGTCCACCAATGCAGGAAGGTCCACCAATGCAACAAGGTTTACTAATGCAGCCAGGTTTGCCCAGGGAGCAAGTTTTTTCAATGCAGCAAGCTCCACCAATACTGCAAGCTCCACCAATACTGCAAGCTCCACCAATGCAGCGAGCTCTACCAATGCAGAAAGATTCATCAGTGCAGTATACTCCACCATTGCAGGAAGCTCCATCAATGCTGCAAGCACCACCTATGCAGCAAACTCTACCAATGCAGCAAGCCCCACCAATGCAGGAAGCTCTACCAATGCAGCAAGCTCCGCTAATGCAGCAAGCTACACAAGTGGAGCAAACTCCACAGATGGATTCTTGTTCTTCAGAAGGGACACAATCAACTCAGAAAGAGCCAGATGCAAAAGTGAATTCTTTAGACCTCGAGGTATCTGCAAAGGAATCCTCAAGCCTTGAAGAACACTTGTTTGCAGAACCGGACAGTCCTCGTGATGTATTTCAGGCTGCTTTTCTCCAGAAGCAGCTGGCTGGGAAGGCACCTGCTTCTTCGCCTCGGACTTCTTTGTGGATGAATAGTGCTCATCTGCCAACACCCTGTGTTCTAGCTCCTGCTGCAGTGGCTTCAACTGACTCATCTGAGCCACATGGAAATGAAAGATCTTATTCACCTGAAAAACAGGTCAGTAGGAGTTGTCATAATCATTCTTAACAATTAAATGCTGCATTCTGATATTACTTTAAAAGGAAGCCTTGATTTCTTGGAATGAGCTGCTGAGGGATTTAAAAGATGAATGTCATCATGGTGCATTGATTGGGTAGTCATTTATTTGACATCTTTAAGCCAGAAAAGATATTAACAGTAATGAAAAAAGGGAATAGTTCCAAGATGATCACTCTTAGTAGACTTCCCTAATTTTCCTTTCCAGCTGATACCTCCAACAGGACAAATGCAGCAAAGAGACCTTTCACCCGCATTGCAGCAACTGCCACCACCCACAAATGTTCCACCTGATGTTATTCAACAATCACATCCAGTTCTACCTCCTAAAAGTCCAGAGTCAATCATGCCACATGTGTTGGCGACATCCAATGGTCTTGATCAGAGAATGGCACCTCCTTTGCCAGCTGCTCCTCCAACTCATGTTGGTAGGGAGTCTGTCACCTACCCTTATGTAAATCGACAACCAGATGTCCAGCCATGTGCAGCTGATGTTTCCTTCAATGCTCCCAGTGGTCTTGATCAAAGAAGGTCACCACCTCTCTCTTCTGATTTGTCTGCTTATGTTGGTGGGGAGTCTGTCCCTGACCCTAAAGTAAATCACCAACCAGATATCCAGCCACATACAGCTGAAGTTTCCTACATTGTTTCAAGGAGTCATGATCAAGGAATGGCACCATCTGAACATATGGCTCCACCTCATTTGGGTGAGGAGTTTGTCCCCCACCGTAGTGTAAATCACCAACCAGATATCCAGCCATTTACTACTGATGTTTCCGGCAGTACTTCTGATGGTCATGATCAAAGAGTAGCAGCACCTGAGCCTGCTGCTCCTCCAGCTCATCTTGGTGTGGATCCTGTTCTTCACTCTAGAGTAAATCACCAACCAGATCTCCAGCCACAGGATGCCAAAGATGTCTTTCCAACTCTAAGTGACAATGTTAACCAGCAAGTTACATTAAACCCCAATGAATTACCCAGAAGCACTGCAGAACAACCCTCAGGGCCACACCATGGGTCCATGGCTCTACCACCTGAAATGTCAAAAACAACATCATATTCTGCACAGGAACAAATTATGCAACCTCCCAAGGTTGAAGCAAAACCAGAACCAACACCAATGTCATTGGCATCTTTGCTTCAGGGGGGGAAGAAGCAACCTAAGAAGAAAGAATCTGATGTGGATAAGAGTTCTCAGAGTCCAGTTCCAATGCAGTCTTTCTCAAACACGGTGCAGGATTCCTCATCTCTTCTCTCTGCACAAGAGAGAGACAATCATCCTTTTGATTCAAGTGGCAGAGTTGATGAGAGACCTCAGCGTGAGTATGATTCAAGTGACCCTCGTGATGCAGATTCACCAGAAAATTCAAGGCGCAGAGATGATCATTATTATGACCAAGACAGAAGGGACCCATATTATGAAGATGACAGAAGGGATTACAGGCGAGAACATGACAGAAGGGATTATGGTAGAAGGGAATATGACAGAATGGAATATGAAAGGATGGAGTATGATAATCGTGACAGAAGGGAACTTGATCGAAGAGAAAGTGACTACAGTAGAAGAGATTATGATTCTAGGGATTACGACCGAAGGAGAAATTATGACAGAAAGGAGAGTTATGACAACAGGGATCCTTATTACGGTTACGGGTCCCCAAGACAAGGAAGAAGGAGTTATGATGATCGTAGAACTTCCAGAGAAGATTTGTACAGGGGTTCTGACCCTGCATATCCTCATTCATACCACAGTGGACGCAGCACTCCTTTATCTGATAGAAACAGTCCTGCTTATGACTATTCATCACCTTCGTACCCCTCTCATCATTACGGCTATCCATCATATCTTGATACTCAATCCATGGACATGTACCAGTATTTAACAATGTTGTACTATTACTATCCACAACATTATGAACAGTATTGTGCCCAGCAGGGATACTTTAACATGGGCTATACCCCAGAGCAGATGGCTCAGTTCTACAGTGGAACCCAGTACCCTCCTGGTTACCAAAACTCTCAGCCAGAGCAGGGTATGTATTGATGTTTTTTTGTTGATGTTGTGATTTCCTTTGTAAATTTTCTTTTGAGTACTATGGCTGATTTCCAGGCTTCTTGTGGTTTTTGACTCTCAGGTTTAAGTCTATAATTTGCAAGAAAATTTATTTTGGGAATGTCAGCCTTTTAGTATATTTTAGATACCTGCTACTTTCCAGGCAACCCTCTAACCCTTGAACTTCCATGAGTGACCAAGACAGAATTTCTCCTTACAGTATCAATACATTATCAAGCAGAAAAGTGAGGAGAACTAGTAAAAATGTTAATTAGGGAATTATAAGTTGAACCGCAATCAAATTCTCCAAAGCAACATCATAGTAATTGTATGGCAGATGGTGAGAAGAATTGTCAATGAGATCTTGGGAGTGAAAGAGGTCCTTGGAGTGACCAAAATCTAATTTCTCCCTACAGTGCCACTGCTGAATCATTCTTTGAAATCATGAGAATTAGGAACATGATTGTCAACCCTAAGAAGCTTTAGTTGTGATTCTCCTTGTTAGTAACAAAGAGATGTGCAGAGAAGAATGTGAAGAATATGGATACTGATGTTAGGTTGGGAAGGGTTAAAAATGATGTGGTTTTTTCGTTCTGGTGTTCAGAACACACTTTTAGAGTAATTCTTTCTCTCTGTTGTTCCCAGCTGCTCAGACTGAAGTCCAAGAAACTGAACCAGCACGTCTGACTCCACAATTGTACAGAGTCCAACATCCCTTAGTACGCTTTAGTGGCAACAGGTTGATCTCCCTCTTAGGCAGTGAGGAAGAAGACGAACAGCCTAAGTGTGTGGTTGCCACAGTTCAGGTTTGTTCAATAGATCTGAATGGTTGAAAAGTGTTATTCCAGACTGTGTTGTTCCAAACCTGATGAATGCATATCCATGGGTAGCTAGATGAAAATGTTTCTTTGTTATGGTAGTTAAACCCAAACTACAACTATTCATGCCGAGTTACAACTGGGAAGACTTAAATTAACAAACAGACTTAAATTAACAAACAGATTTGGTGTTGGCACACAGCTGTTCAATAATAGATCATGGATGATGTCAAACTGTGATAAGAACCAATCAAAAGGCATGGGTAATTTAGCTTATCATGATTATGATGCCTACCATGAAATTTTGGATCTTAGTAGAATTGAGAAAGGTTTTCTATGTTTGGATATGGCAGTGTATAATTTTTTCCTTCTAAAACTTTTCAGTGTGATAGGTTTACAATTTAGGCCAGTCATTTCTTATTATGTCTATGAAGCACTTTCTCCAAAAGAAGAGGTAATAGAATTTTTACTGTAACTTTGAGTTGGTTATTGCATTTATTTCTACCACATTTACAGTCTTACAGTATGAAATGAAGTTAAATTATGTAGAAATTTATGAGAATATATTTTGTTCCCATCTGAGCAGATGGTGTTTAAGGAAGAACAGATAAATCTCATCAAAGCATTTCCAGGCCCACTCTCAAGGTTAGTTCATGATCGACATCTACTAAGACAGCTAACAACTCTATGAAAGTCTTTTAAAAAATTGTTAATTGTGTCTTTCAAACTTATGAGAAATAGTTGATTTGATGACAGAATTCCATTTGAAAGTGAAGTTGTATAGAAGCACAGTGTGTAGTGATATGTCCTTTCTCACTAAAAGATAATAATGAACAAACTCTTCAATAATTAATACATCTCATTATTTTAAAATCTCTTAATGTTGAGAAATACTCACGAAACACAACTTGGTAACCTTTCACTATAAACTGCATTACTGAAGGTTTGATTTTTTTTTTCATTCCCAAAACTAGCTTGTACTCAAGTAGAACAGAAGTAATGGCTTATTGTGAACAACGGAGTGCTACAACAAACACATCTGTTGAAGTAGTGAAATCTCTCATATGGAAAATTCTTGGAAATCTAGTCAAGCACAGTGGAGTGAGTACTTGTGAATGATTCTCAAGTTTGAGAGTCATGTGGTTTGGCCCATCTGTTTGTCCATTCCTCTATAGCGCTCACCCATTTTCTTAATTTGTAGTGTTTCCACTAAAAAAAATTGTTGTCACAAGAGATCGGTGGCTATCTTTAGTTTGGTTCAAAACCTGATAAAAGTAACTAACTGTTATATTCTCAGGCCTTTGTACCATCTGATCTGGCTGAAATCATCATGGCAAACTGGCGGACTTCTAATGCATCAGATCAGCACGAGTTTCTATCTGCTGAGAATGCCCTGCCAGCTTCTGAGTCTGAAAAGAACAAACATGTCACAGTTTACAGAGAGATGCTTTTAGCAGGTGCAACTAAGGTAATATAGTCTTTTTACCAACAGCTCTTGCTTCTAATTTTCACCAAACAACAACAACAGTTACTGGTCAGCATCACTTGTAAAGTTTGGGTGACTAGAATATTTCCCTTTTCAGTAGCCTATCACAAAATTAAAAAACCCTCCCCTGGCTGGCATGATCCAGCAACCCAGTCATAGGCTGCCCATGGAAACAGTAATTGCACAACTATAGCTACCTGTACCATTATTTGTTTAGGATGCCCTAGAGTACACCATGAGATATGGTTTGTGGGGACATGCTATGATGCTGGCAGGAAAAATGGATAAGAAAGTGCAGAATGATGTTATGACAAGGTAAGGAATATGTTGTATAAAATTTGGAAGATAGGGAGACCTAGTGGTTTACACAATGGACTCTCTGCCAAGGGCTTTTGGTGTGAACCCAGCATGTATTGGAACATTGTGGGAAAGATGCTTAACTCTCACAGTGCCTTAAAACTCCTGTGAGCTAGAAGGTGTTGTGGTGAGCTGACAGAGAAATGGTAAAGCTGAAGCAAAGAACATCCATTATTGGTGCTAAACCATCTAGTTAATCATCTGTTAAAATATATCAATATTCTCAAGTGAATTTCATAGTTAAACAGTGCAGGGGTCTTAATCAGGATTCTGTTAACCAAGGCCTTCTTGTAATTTTGTTTAAGTCCATCTTATTTCAAGGATAATTCTCAAGTTCATCGTTTTTTATTTTGAATTCCAGGTTCATGAGGACAATGACTGATTTTGATCCAATCCGTACAGTTTAAGATCACCTTTCAGGAAGACAACCTGTTGCACTGATGGTGAGTGAAAGCCCAGCTTAAACCTTTTCTTTTGTTGTTGTGGAAAGCCACCTTCTTCCATAGATGTGGCCTTAGGCCATATTATTGAGTTGTTGCATCCCTCTTATCCTCTTATCTTTTAATAACCTTTCAACTTTTACAGACCCCTGATGACTGGCAACGCAATCTTGCAGCAATGGTGGCGAATCCACCCCGTCAGCATCCAAAGAGTAACAAGAAGAATATCATTTGTTTAGGAGATACTCTGAGTAAGTTCTGCATTGTGGTGCATTTTCTCATTTAACACATCGATTATTATAATTAAGGGCACTGAATACAAAGTACTTTGTGTTGAACAAAACAGTCAAATAAAAACAGTGTATTTATGAGTTAAGCTAATTTACCATCAGAGTGCTAGTTATTTTGGCATCATTGGTTATTTACATATTTCAGCGTTTAATTTGCATACTGAATCGGCTATATCCTCACTATGAAGTTACCGCTAATGATACCAGTTAAGATGCAAATGATGATTTCCTTTTTTCAGTGGCTAATGATCAGGTTTGGGAAGCACACTTATGCTACCTGTTGGCTTCTGAAAAGTTTGGTTTTCCATCTGACGATAAGATGAAGATGTCACTGATAGGAGTAGATCACAGGTAATTGTAACAATTCTGTTGTAGACTGATAAACCCACGGAAATGTTTTAGTTAATTTCAGTCAATTCCTTCACTTTATTCTTAAGTACCACAACCGTGAGGGACTTCTTTTTATCCTTTTGTACTAAAAGAGGCATCACCAAACCTTGATAAATCTTTTCTCCTTTGCAGGAAGAATCCACTCACAGGGAAACACATCCCTCTTGAAAACTTGCAGATGATGGAGGTATGAAGTGAAAAATTCACTTGCAGCACAGTGAATTCTGACAAAGAAGATAACTAGTCTTTTGTTTTGTGTTGTTGTTGTTGTCAGGTTCTAGAGTATGCGTTCAGCCTAAACAACGAAGAACATTATATCCCAGTTCTGCAGGTATGTAGTAAAGGAATTTGATTGTGGGTGTGGTTGAGTGGGGTATCTTACTATTATGCTAAAAATCCTGATTTGAGCTTGATAGGAAATGATGACAACTTAATCCTAAGAATTCACCAAAAATATGAATTCATAATAAACATGTTACTTTAATTTCTTTTTTGTTAGACTTACAAATATCTCCATGCAGACAAGTTGGCTGAGGCAGGTTTCACTGATGAGGTAAGAAAAGTTAAAAAGAATTGATGTTCTTGTCAGTCATATAAATTGTTCGTTTGTGATGAAATTGATCAATTTTTTTTTCACAACTAAATCTTTACTAGAAGAAAGCATTTTTTTAAAGAGGATATAGATGTAGTAAATAATTCTGGTTCTGTAGCATTGTTGAATGAGGAGTGTAAGATGTGACTAAAAGGCAATGTTGGACTTACTTCATTTTTTTTTTCTCAAAAGGCTTTACAGTATGCAGACCTCATTGGTCGCACAATCATTAAACATCCTCACCACTTTAACTCTGCCCTAACCAAGAACATCAAAGAGGTAAGGACTTCCAGCCAAGAGTCTGTTAATGAATTTTCTATACTAGCCATGGTGTACTTTAATTGGCAATTAAATAAAAATAGCATCCCCTGCCTACATTTTGTTTCAAATTTTAAGGTGCCGTTCCATATCAATGAATCTTGCAATCTCTTTTCTTTGTGTCTCAGCTGACGGACAGATTAATCCCTGAAAGTGAAGAGGCCGTTGCTACAGAAATGACAGAAATGTTAGACAGGCTTCTGCAAGTTAAAGATGTAAGAAAAAAAAAAAGAGTTGTTATTCACAAGTCAGGTTGCTGTCTCAGGTGTTGAATCAAAAGTTACAAGCCATCATCAACTTTTCATGAAGAGGTTTTTATTACAGTACTCAAAGGGGTTGTGATGGAATGTTATTGAAAATTAAACCTGCTTGTTTGAAATTCAGTTCCTTGAGAGTATAATACATGGTCTATGCTGGGTTTTTTTAAAATTATTTTATTGTTTGGTTAAATGGGATCCCAGCATCACAGTGCAAGTGCCTCAGTAAACAAAGTTGAACAACTTTCATGTATTAATGGAAAATGGACCAGTATATCAAATAACCCACTTGAAAGTCAAGATAAAGATAATGTGTAAAAGTCAGCAATTAGTGCCACCAACATAAGAGTTAACCTTTTTTTTTTTGTCTTAGCAGTCATCTCAGATCAGCAGTTCTGTCACAGAAAGTGAAGGTGATGCAGAAGATCCCCTTGCAGAAAGTTCAGTTTCCTTTTTCTCAGGATATGAGCCTACCCCCAAACATCAGGGTGCAGAGCAAACTGAGACAGCACCTCCTGTAAGACAGGACTCAACTACTGGTCACTATCAAGATTCCTGGTCTAGTGGTATGGATCTAGAACCTACCCAGCCTGAAAAGCCTCTAGAACAAGGAACATCTTCCATGCAGCAGCTTCCTCTAAGCACAGCATCCCAACCTCCAGCAGCTTGGTCAGAGCCTTCATCTGCAGTGAATACTCCTCCACAGCAACCTTTCTTTGTGCCAGGTCCTCCTGTGTCACAACAATTTCCTGAACCAATGGTCAATAAGCAGTCAGCTGAAGTGGGAGACCAGCCTTATTACCCACAGCAGCCTGCATGGAATGACAGTTACCAGGAGCCATCATGGAAAGACAATCGTCAAGAGCCCTCATGGAGTGATAATCGTCAAGAGCCCTCATGGAGTGATAATCGTCAAGAGCCCTCATGGAGTGATAATCGTCAAGAGCCCTCATGGAATGATAATCGTCAAGAGCCCTCATGGAGTGATAATCGTCAAGAGCCCTCATGGAGTGATAGTCGTCAAGAGCCCTCTTGGAATGGCACTCGTCAGGAGCCATCTTGGAATGACAGCCACCAGTCATCATGGTCAGAAGGCATCAGAAAAGAGGAGCCAAAGAAAGTTGAGCCCCCACCACCTAAAGGTATTGAGTGACGATATGACTTATTTTATGACACAATATTGTACAACAGAAGATTGTACAAGTTGTCTTACAAGCTTTCCTTCCTGTTATAGAGCCTGAGCCACCAGCTAAAGAAGAACCAAAGCCTAAACCATCTGAGAAGAAAAAGAATGCTAAGAACAGCAATCAGGTTAGTTGAAAAGATAATAATAAATAGTGTTCCCTTTATGCACAATCATTCCACTGCAGTTCTTAAAATGAGTTATGAACTGTCTCATGGTCTTTTGCATTGGAATGCATTCAAGCTTGTAGCTTGTGGCAGGTTTTACAATCAGCATTTGGATTAATTGCCTGTGGTAGAATAGGATATATTCCCTCATTCCCTGCCTCTAAAGTTGTCCAGTGGATATGTTACCTAATTTATACAAATGCAGACCCAGTCAAGTGCTTAGTGCATCTTTTTGAGATGAGATTTAATTGATTAAATGGTCAATTTGGTTTCTCTGCAGGGTGGCTGGTTCTCAGGTCTGTCTGGGATAATTTCCAAAGTCATGCCTCGAGGTCCTAATGAAATGATTCTTCCAGATGACAAAAAGAAATCGGTACAGTTGCATTGCCACTAATATCACATCACCTGAATTTGCTTTCTGAATTTTTAAGTATTTAAATTGTTTACCCACTTGTTCTAAGTTTTCATTTTTTTTACATTCAACTAACTCAACCATTTTTATAATCTTACGTCAAAATAGATTTACTGGGACGAGGACCTCAAAAAGTGGGTGAACACTGAAGAAGATGAGCAGGTATGATATTTGTATCATATTTTTAGTAGAAGTTGGGACCAAATTAGCCCTAATACTTTCGTTATAATATTTTTAGTTGTCAATAATGTTGTTCTTGTTTTGTCTTGTGTAGGAGAAAGCTCCACTACCACCACCTCCAAGTGACATGCAGCTTGGTGGTGGTAGGCCACCCTCTGTCCCACTCAGTAATGGCTTCCTTCCTAGTGCAGGTGAAGATTTTTGTTGTCATTGTAGGACGTACTTGCAGACCTTTGAGTTTTAAAGGCATCTTTAATGAAAGTTGTCAGTCAATACATTATTGCTATCTTTACTTCAGGCTCACCAATGAATGGTGCCCATGACACTTCTGCAGCTCCTCCCCCATTTGGGGTCCCATTCTTGCCAAATGTTCCTGCCGGCCAGCAGTCCAGTCCAGGCATGCCACCTAGAATGACAACTCCTACAACACCTTCTAAGTTCTCACGGTTGGCACATGGTGGCAGAAGACATGGTAAGTTCTTAGCATATTTGATGGGATGTTTTTTTGTGGACCATGAATTTAAAAACAAATTATTCTGTAAGGTCTAATCCAATTAGCTTAGTTCTATCTTCTGTAGTCCAGAACCGTGCATTGCGGCTACCTTTTTAGCTTTTCTTGGCTTCATAACCTTACCTACACATATCCTTTTATTACTGAAAAAGCTTGTTCTGATTTTAGAACAATTGTTAAAATTGGTGTGTCAATAATTTGCATTGATGCCGAAACAGTTACAGAGTAGTTCTGACTGCTTTTTTCCTCACAGCTAAGAAGTATGTGGATGTCTTGAACCCAAGTAGCCAAAGCTCTAATGCTTCTGCGCCACTTCCAAGCGGTCTTCTTCCCATGATGCCCGGTCCGACTACTGAATTCAAAGGAAATTTCTTCGTACCTGCTCCTGTGACTTCAAGTAAGAGTCATGCATTGTTTGTTTCTTGACAGCTGAAGATTTTTTTTCTTTTGAGCATACTGTCACTTGATTTCATATCTTGTCAATATGAAACTACAGTCCAACCTCTTTGAGGCAATCAAAGTCTTTAAGTCCTACTAAACGATACGTTGGGAAAAAGTCCCTTATTATAATAAAGCCTTGTTACTCTTATGGATTTTAATTCATTTTTCCTGTGGATCAAGTATTTATTTGACCCTGAGAAACTCTAGGGCTGGTTATTAGAAAATAATTGGATGGAGTGGTTGCAAGAATGAGTAATGGACCTAATGTTTATCAACTTTCATGATTGACTAAAATGAATTCTACATTGTTCTTGTAGCTGATCAGAGTGCTGATCAACAGCCTGCAATTGGCAATCCTTCGTCACGTCCCTCGTCTCGGTAAGATGATTGAAGGTGATATAAATGACCAAGTCCTTTCTTTTCAAATGGCCGCGTGTTTTCAAAAACTTAAAAGAGGCATAGTTAGGCTTACATTCTTGAAGATAATGGTCAACTCAGCTGGTCATTTTGAAAGAAGAGAAGCTGTGATTAATCTTCTATTCTCTTGCTACAGAAGTCTCACAACTATTTTTTCTTTCATCGCAAAGAATTAAATTCTTTGTAGGAAGCACAGACCCAGAGTTCTACAAATAGTTTTTCTGTTGTCATTCTCATCCAATATTTCATCTTTGGTGTTTTAGTTTTTCTTAGAAGCAATTTTTTTTCAATACAACAATATTTTATTCAGTCTTTAGTGTAATCATTCTTTGGCTATCCAGCTGCCATAAAAAAAGTATGTCTGTTTTTTTTTGTAAGAAATGAAGAAGAGGACAGGGGCGATCAACAGTCACAGGTGAATTGCGATTTTAAAGCCTAGTTTGTTATGAATTTGAGTTTGATCCAATGGACATTTTAATTCATTTTACATCATTTTCTGTTTTGTTTACCTTTAATTCATATAGCTATTATAATTTCAAAGTCAAGGTAAAAATGAATGTAAAGATGATTTAATTTTATATAACTAATAGGCAAATTTGTCACTGCTGCATATAAATGCTTAAATGCATCACAATGAAATGTGTATGGTAAATGTTAAATACTATGCATTATTTAAACAGACTGCACTGGAAAGCTATGCTTTGAGAAGATAACATTTATCATAGGCACTGTGAAATAGTACATAATGCTTATTAACTCAAGCTTTAAGCACTTGAAGGCTAATCAAAAGGTTGCGTGATGTTTATTTGAGGCACTTTGAATTTCTTTTTCCAAACCTACCCACTCTAATGAGTGATTTTGATTTTCAATTTATGGGTACATGTTGTTTTAAATGTTCCCAAGTTGTAGATGCTTAATTTTGGTTGCAATGAGAGCTTAAAAGCTAGCATGCTGGAGTCACACCTGGTGGAAATATCACGTTCGCGTTCATGAGACACACCATAAATACTTTAGATATTTAGGAAAATTTCAGAAAAACTTGCCTTCTCATCTGAGGCAGCACAACTTTTTATTATCTCGAGCTACAGCAGGTTATCCCTGGGCAACATAGGTTTTATGTTTGGAGAGGGGATTTTTCCCCTTCCTGTGTTTTGTTATGTCTGATGGAGAATGCATTCCAGTGTCCAGTTTCCTGTGTTTTCAATACGCACGTTTTTGTTTTCAGCATTCCCGATCAAGCTCTGTTTCCCTTACCTCTGCTGAAGTCCGTAGCTATATGATGCCCCAGGTATTTAACTGAATTCTGCCCTCACAACTGCAGTAGGAAGCTTAGCTCAGGCAGAGTCCATGTGGCAACTGTAGAAAGTGAAAAAATATAAAAGTGAAGGGAAAGCAGTTGTAAATTTCACCTTGGATGGGGCTAGTTTGAGTTTTAGAGTTGTTCTTTTCATTTTTTTTTTTTTTGGTGTTGACTGTTTGTACTTCAATGCTTGCATCTCACAAATCAAATTTTAACTTTAACCATTTTTGATCTAATTTTTTTTTTGTCTGTTCACTTTTGTGGAAAATTGGAACTCATCTAACATGCCTCTGATGATTCATAATATTACTTCCTTCCTAAAAACAAACTTTGCACATCTTAGCTGACTATTAACATGTGTTGTGGTTTTTAATGATTTGTGCCATTCAAGGAAGTTTTATACAAAAATAATATACAAATAAAGGATTTAAGGTTTTGATTGAATGCACTGTATTTCTTTGTCGGTTACTAAGGTGATGGGTCTCATAATGCACTTTTAAAAGTTTAACTGTCGTTAAAGCTGTTAGAAGCTAACCTCTTAAGTCTTGTTAAAAAAAAAATGCATATTAAATCAAACCAGCTTTTTTATTTTCACAGTTTTACTAATTTCACATACCAAACTTAACCTGCTAAATAATTGAACTCTATTTGAGTTTTTTTCATTAATTCATTTCAATCTTTCCATCCTTCATCATTTTTCCTCCTTTTTGGTATATTCTGACGGCTTTGGTGTTTTCTTTATCCCAACAAATTGTTACTTTCTTATTTACAACTCAGAGTATTAAAATTTTTTGATGACAGCCCATTATGTTGGTCAGATAGCTTTGACAGTTTCCGTTTTACTATTGCAGGACCCCAACCCACCCCCACAAGAAAACAGTTTTGTTCCTCCACCTATGTTCTTTGATCCAATGGCCTTCAGTCAGCCCAAGGCTCAAGCCTCACCAAGAAAATCTCGCTATCCGGGCATCCGGAAAAACTAATTGTCAAAAACAAAATAATTAATTTAATAATTGGAGATTTTGAAATATTTGTCTGATGTATTGTATTTAATTTTTTAATATTTTAGAGAAGTTTTTTGCATGTGACTCACGTTTCCGCTTCCTTTCTTTCCTTCTTTTCTCTTTCTCTCTTTCTCCCAATTTTCATATTTTGAATTTAAGCTGCACCTTTTTTTATTCTTATCAAAAAAAAAAATTCTGTCCTGGGCTTGACCCATTTTGATTGCGATTTTTTCACCAATTTTTCAGTGGCTATTAAATGAAAAAATCCACATTGATTTATTTATTTTACTTTATTTTTTTGAACCAGACAAATATCTCAAAATCTCCAATTTCTCTAGCTGTAATAAAAAAAAAAAAATAAATAGGTGGAGAAAAAAATTGGGGGGGAAGGGTTAATACTATTTATAAAAATTCCAATATGGCATTTTTCGATGATTTTAATCCTATTTTCTCAAAGAAAAATGCATTGATTCTAACATATCAATTTATTTCACAACTGAGATGTAAGATTATTTTAGTTTGAATTTAACCACAGATTTACAGTTCATTTTGATCTGAATCCCTTTATCTTCTTCGGTTGTTTTACAATGAGAGCCAGGCTTTTTTTTTTTTTACCAGAATTGTTTTCTTTTATGAGCTTTATCCACCTTTATTAGTTTATATTCCAAGGTACCTTTAAGTTATCTACTTTGCCTTAAGTTTGTTATCAGTTCTTTTGTTCTTTGATTAAGACACTTATCTATAGTTATCTCCTTTAGTCAAAAAAAAAAAAAAAAAAAAAAAAAAAAAAAAAAAAAAAAAAAAAAAAAACACCAGCTGCTTTTAGTTAACTTAGAAAAAAAAAATTTGTATCCTCTTCCTTATATAATACTTTCAGTTAACCAAAGCTGTACTCTGTAAATCTTTTAAGTCCAAAAAAAGGGTAGAAACTACTGTACTTTCTTAGCTTATGTTATTGTGGTATAAATCTCTTTCTAATGTTAGACTTATTTTTCAGCTCAGCTCTGAGGAAGAAGTCAGTCAGTGATACCATCTTGGATGAAACAGTGTCACCTCTGTCATTATGGCTCAGGCTTTTGTTTGTTTGTTCTGTGGTTTTGTTTGTCCTTTTGTTTTTTCTTTTGTTTGTCCTTTTGTTTGTCCTTTTGTTTGCCCTTTTGTTTAGTCAGTTTGTTCAGTATTCTGGTTTGTTATGTGTGGTCTCTCAGCGGCTATACTGGATGATCATTTTCTGTTTAGTTCTCCCAGTATAGTTTGCTGAGCTTATCGCATTTCAAACTTACTTCTGATTAATTCTAGGTACTCTCTGGGGCCAAGGACGGCTTTCTCTGTTTCTTT